TAATACCTATTAATTGCCTTTTTTGCTACCTTAGCTAGTTTTCACTCTTTCTCCAGATATTGGCCAGGGAAATGATCTAAGCAAATATCTTGGCCAGGGAAATGATCTAAGCAAATGGCATGCCTCAGTTTTTATGTTGGATTTCCAGAGAAGTTATAAATTTTATTAGGATATCATTCATTGTGTTTTATAAGTATTACATACAACAATTTACAACATGAATTTCTTCCTACATAGGCACGGGGTGGGGGGTGGAGGGCGTGTAATAAGTAAAGTAGTACTACTTTCAAAGTAAGTGTAATAATTAGGATATGGACCCTTTAAATCTTTCCCTTTGCTAATAACAATTCTTCAATGTCTTCTCTGTGACTTTTATGACAGATTTTTTGAAAATTCTCTACAATACAGACTCATTTCAGAATGCTGCTATATACTTCTGACCCCCTACCCCCTACTCCCAAGAGTTACAGCCAACTGTAAAATATCCAGCACAGTTTAAAATAAGAGTTAGAGTGATTTACAATGAACATCGCCTACTTACATTAAGGCCTTAGAGAGAAACTGATGGGTTAAAGATCCTTTCAGGGCATTTATCAACAAATCAGTACCATTTATCTCATCAGGTATGTCAACAATTCAGAATTCTCCAGGGCCCCAGAGCTAAGAGCAGTTAACAACAGGGTCATTTCTTCCCAGAATTTCTTGTGTTGATACAGGATTCTTTCCAGACCAGCACTGTTTCAGCAATTGCTTGTGTTTCAACTTTAGACATGATAGTAACCCGAAAATAATAAAAACAATACTTACAACCATCAAGAGCCCCCAGATCTTTTCAAAGAACTTTAATTAAACAGCATACTCAAACCACCCCTGGTAATTGTTCCATGGCGTGTTAATGTTAAATTCTTTTGAAGCCGATTACTTTTTTGAGTCACAGAAAGCTAAGGCTTTAAAGTAAGTAGGTGTTGTTTGCTGCCTTATCTCTCTGCCTGACTTGCACTTCTGGGTAGGCTGCTGAGTGTATTTCAGCTTGCTGGGAAGCTCCTGTTGTAATCAAAATATTTCAAACACTTTATTCCTTAGTTGGAAGAGCCACTCAAACAGTTGCCCTAAGCATTAGAGCAGAAGCACCGTGACAGTGCCCTTTGCTCTACCATATCAATTCTGTGAACTATGAAATATTCCTGCTATTCCCTCTTAGATTGGTCTCCTTCAACTATCTCACTAGGCCCAATCCTACTGAATTTTGGGGATCTAGAAACCTAATTCCTCCAAGAAGCTTTTCAAAATTCCCTTTAGCTAGTGGTCTAACTCATCCTTCTATGGAGATAATGTGTTAGCTGTTCTTTTTGGTTGCTACTATTTTTTATTTGATAATGCATTTTTTAGAGGAAGGTTTCCTTCTTCAGACTTTAAACCTCTTGCTTTAAAGCAAGCAGAATCCATGTTCAATTCAGCACCTGCAGTGTCTTGCGTGAAGAACAAACTCATTTGACAGTTCTTGAATTCACCAAGCAACATGAATTCACCATGTTGTAGAGATGACAAATCATGTGTAGGTTTGGGACTAAGTGTCCAATAAATGTTGAGAGACCAACACATTCTTTGTGTGTGAAATGGATCCTTATATCTACCTTACATAATTGTTTTAAGGATATAATGAAATGCAAACATATTCTTGAACAAGCTTATGTACATTGTAAA